GGCCCCTGGGGTGCGCCCTCGCGGCTCCGGGAGCGGCCGGCAGGTGAGAGGCGCAGGACGGGAGCCGCGGCGAGGGATGCGCGTCCCCCGGTCGCCGCCGCTGGGGAGCGCGGAGACAGCCGAGCGCTCGACTCCTCACACCGGGAGAGCCCGAGAGAATAAAAGTTTTGCGGCAGCCTGGGCCAAGGCGGAGAGACGCGGAGCCCGGCGGCGCGGCAGGATCGGCGCTGAGCCGCAGGCGGCCAGCCCAGCTCAGCCTGCCTCTCCCCGGCTCCTCGCGGGTCGATTCGGCTCCGCTCGGCTCCGCTCGGCTCGGCTCGCCAGTTCTCTCCAGGCCCCTCAACTCCTCGTCGCCACGCCCAGCGCGCGCTGGCCCGCTCCGCCCCGTCCCTCCCCGAGAGCCCGGATTCAGACCCTGAGGCGCAGCCACCCAGCTGTCAGAGGGTGAGAATCTCAGCGGCCCCTGTGCGCGCCGGCCGCCCTTGGTGGTCCAGCGAACCGACGGGGAGGAACCGGGCGCCTCGACGGCCTAACTCTTGCAAATGATCGTTTCTACCTTTTGTTTGAACTTCTGAGACAATATAATACTGTCCCTACTAGAATAAGCGTTAGTCTTTTGTGGGAGCCACTGCTTCTCACTGGCAAGCAGAGAGCTGCACCTGAGTGCTTCCCCCCTCCGGCAGGCTGCAAGATAGTGCGGTCCTCGCCTCGCGCATAAGGCAAGCGAGAAGGGACGCACTTGTGCCGTCTCGCACCCCAAGAAGGAGAGGATCCGGGTGTTGGCAGCGCCTCGGCGCTCCACAACAGATGCCTGGGGTAGGCGGAGCGCGAGCTTGGGCCTGGCACCCTTCTCCCGCTCGAGAGCCGCGGGATGGAGAACGGTAGAGCCACCTTCAGGTGCGCTCGTCGAGAACCTCCCAGTGCGGGCAAGGACGGCCTGTCTGGGGAGGGCCGCGTTCCCTGGGAGCGGGGCCTTCGGCAGCCAGCGACGCCCTTGCCGGAGAGGCCCCGAGCTTCCGAGCGGCCCCGCGGCGCCCCTGGCCCCTTCGCGGGGCGAGGCGAGAAGTCGCGGCCCGGCCTCCGGGTCGGGGCGGAGGGGCGCGGGCAGGCGTCGGCGGGCTTTGAGGATGGAATCGGGCCGGGAAAGAGAAATGTCCGCGTCCGCTGAGAGCAGGAAATAAGCCAGGGAACTCTGCGTCCCCCGCACCCCGTCCGGAGCGGGAGTGCCGACGGCGTCCCCCGGCCCCGGGCGGGAGAGCGCGGGCTGCGCAGGTTTCCGAACCCGCCAGCGCTTCTGCGTCGTTGGCACCCCGATTTCTTTAAAAAAAAAGGCACGGGGAGGAAATACACCACAAACTACGGTACATTATGTATGTGACTTTCACTTTTCGGTTTTCCGTTTTTGCTTTAGATATGTCTGTTTTCTATGGGTTTGCCAGAATTTCTACAGAAATGCATGGTTTTCCATCCTAACCAGAAAAAAACTTAAATATTTAAAATTCAAATACGGTGTGATCCCAATAACATAAACATGCATAGAAAAGATGGGAAGGAAATACAAAGAATTGTTAACAGTATGTTAGTTTTGAAAACTAGGGTATGTTATCCTACTCTGCTTTACACTTTTCACTATTTTCTACCTGGTAGGGAAAATAAAATAGAGCAAGATAACTTAGGTAAGTTCGTTCAATGGCCAAGAGGTACCAAAATCAGATGATGATTTCAAAAGCTCTTAGGAACCGTAAAGAAAGGTGTCATCATGAAGTTAAGTTGGCAGTATTTCTTACTGTCAGTTAGCAAATCATTTTTGAGTATTAGTCTTTCGGTCTATAAAGCTATTTCTCCATGGCAAGAGTAACCTGTAGAGAAGCTGCTAAAGGTTTCAGAACTACAAGTCAGAGAAAGCACTAGAGTGTCAGTAAAATTCCAAGCCCACTCAGCCTGCACAATATTCCTGTTGTGATCACTACAGAACGCACACTCGCGAGGTGCATGACTTCTTTCTGCTACTGCTAAGTTAGGAAGAAAGATTATCATTCTTGTCTCTGGAGATTAATTAGTAAAGTTTGACGTGGTGAATTAATAATTCAAAATATCTTGCAGATTGTGTAGAGATATGCTTTGACATTTACATCTGTGTGAAAATCAATAAAATATTTTTTCAAGTAAGCCCTATAAGCATTTTCCCATTTCTATATTTAAAACTTAATGGCGTTTGCTTGATAATCTTTTAAAATGCTTAAGTAAGGTTGTTATACTTTCTTATCAATTTTAATATATTAGAGAAATAAAGGACTTCCGACAGTGACAAACTAGCATGTGTATATTTTTTGAGATTACAAAGGCTTTGGCATATAGAGCACCTTTTTCCATTCTCCTAACAGTCCTCTGAGGAGCATCTCTTGATAAAGATGAGAAAAGGAGGGGCTGGGGATTTAGCTCAGCGGCAAAGCGCCTGCCTGGCAAGCGCAAGGTCGTGAGTTCGGTTCCTGGTACCGGAGAAAAACCAAAAAAAAAAAAAAAGATGAGAAAAGGAGAGAACAGAGATGTTAAATGAATGTCGTAACCCAGAAATAAGAAGCTGGAAACTCATTTCTTCGGAGCACCAGATCAGATACCTAGCATCCATTGATTGCCCTGTGATATTGAAATGATTAATATAATTTTTATACTTCTCTAGTAATATTTCAGTGCATTTTCTTACAGAACTCTCAGAAAGAATACGTGGATTCTAACTCCATAATTCTGATTTTAGCCTTTGGGATAAGCACTGAACAATGAGATTTATCTCACCCCTTGAGAATCATTGTGGGGCATAAAACAGGTACAAATAAACTACCCTTTGTCTGTGCAATAAATTCCTAAAATATCTGTTGCTAAAGTGAAATGGTGTCTGAGTTTCATAGGAGGAATTTGTGTATTATACATATATTCTATTACAAGAAAAACGGGAATGTTCACAGAACTAATGGTTTTCGGGAGATACAAAACTGATAAAATAGAGTCTAGGTAATTACCATTTTCTACTATCAAGTAATTCAGATAAGCCTTACAGATATATAAAGAACATAAATAGATAGCTTTTAAAATAATTTATTTTCAGAAAAAACTTTCATTGTTTTAGCTCTTAGGTTTACAAAATCTTTAGATATAATTTAATAACTTGGCATAGTGGTGCATTCCTATAATTATAGCATACCCGGAGGCTGAGGGAGAAAAATCCGAAATTTCAGCCCAGCCTGGGAAACTTAGAGACTTAGTGAGATCCTGTCTTAAAATAAAAAAATAAAAAGAGGTGGGGATGTGGCCCTGTGTTCAATCCCTAATACCAAAAGAAGTAAATAAACCAATAAATCTATTTTTCAGTATGATGTTCCATGATGTCCACATCTATTTTTGTTTTTGTGACCTTACACAAAGTTATTAAAATCAAATATATCAACTGAGCCTCTGAATGGTGAATATGATTTTTAAAAATCCTCTCAAACTTATGTATAGAGGTTTTCTGCACATTTTTAATTTTCTCCATCATCAATTTTAGCTGTATTCTTAGATTATTCCTATCATTTGCATAAAATTGTGTACTGGGTATTGAGTGGAGCTCTTTTAATAATCTCATTATATAAATAAATGGGTATAATCATTTAAAGTATACATGTGAAAGAGTGTCTTGGTTACTTTTCTGTCGTTGCTGAGACAAAATACCTGACACCCAATTTAAGGAAGGAAAGTTTATTTAGCTTACAGTTTGTGGAGGTTTCGGTCCATACTCGGCTGTCTCCCAGGCAGAGTGGCACATGGCAGAGGACAACAGTTCATGGCTGCGGAAAACAGCAAAAGCAGCAAGAGCAAAAGGGAGAAGGGGCAGCAGGCAGCCTCTTTCTTTCCTTACGTTGTATGCAAACTGTCCACCCCAGGGCAGGTGAAACACTCACATCCATATTCCAACACTGGACCATAAATCATTCATAAATCTAGAAGCCCACCCCATGACTGCATGAGGATTTGGGGGGACGTGCAGACACAAACCATAACAAAGAGTATATGCAGCTGCTGTAGTGGTTCATGCCTGTAATCCTCAGCACTTTAGGAGGCTGAGGCAGGAGAATCAATTTCAAGCCTAGCCAGAGCAACTCAGTGAGACACTGTCTTAAAATTAAAAATGAAAATGGCTGGAGAACCTCAGTGTGAAGGCCCTGGGCTCAATCCAGGCACAAAATTTTTGAAGAGTACATGCAAGTAACCATGAATACTATGCCCATAAATAGTGTATCCATGAACCTACCATGCAACTACAAAACTGATCTGTGAACTAATATCTTTGTACCAGCCTAGGATTTCTTTCTTTATCTCACCAACTACCTGTCCTTCACAGTTTACTCACTATCCTGAATTTTGTGTATCATTCCCTTGTGTTTAAAAAATACTTCACATGTTTGCATCCATAAATAATGTTTTTTAGTTTTATTTCCTGAGTTTTATAAAAACGGTATGGGCTTCTAGTATCATGTATGGTTCTCTAGTACTTTTCTTCATTTGCTATTATGTTATTCTTACACTGTGTCTATAACTCAATTCATCATGGCATTTCTTGCAAAGTAATGTTTCAGTTGCTGGTCTCCAACTATGCTTAGGCTATGAAGAACTCCTTAAAAGAGTCTCCCCACTTCTCTCTTCCTACTCAAAACACATATCCCTCCGTATGTAGATCCTGCCATATTCCATATAGCTTCACCTTGATCATTTTTACTACTATATAATATTCCATTGTATAGCTGTTCCATAATTAATGTAATCATCTTCTATAGGTGTTCCAGTTTTTGTTATTATTATCAATGATCACATGAACTCTTTTTGTACTGTTTCTTGGTGCCCATATGCAGAAGTTTCTCTAGGAAATACACCTAGGAATCAAACTGCAGAATAGTAGAACATGAACATACCCAGTTTTACCATTCAGGACCAACTTGTTTTTGAGAATATGTTGTTCCCATGCACACACCCCCAACAACAGTGTAATCAAAGCTCTTTAGAGTAAGAGGTCATATAAAGACTATCTTAAAAGTGATTTTCAATATTGCTTCTTTCATGGTTAAACAT